TCGTCCTGATAAGGATAAGCAATTTTCAAGATTCTTGGTTGCAAAAATGGAGCCAATGCAAAAGTGCCTTGAGCTGATGTCGTGATGGGCAATTTCACAGTCAGACCCACCCCTGCCCATCACAGCTGTTTTTTTTTTGTTTATTTGTTTTATTACTCTGAGATGGCAACGGTGAAATTAATTTAGAGGCTTCAAAACGAGACAAGATTTCAGAAACAAATGGATAGGGTCACGATAGCTACATCCATCATTTATAGAGAGGCTATGGGGAGCTCCTTGGGCTTGACCTGGCAGTCAGACGAACCACACTCCTAACTTCAGGGTTGAATCAAATTTAAATGAATGAAGTATGAAAAAATATAATAAAACAAAATTCCCTGATTGGTCAGTAAAAATCTAGCGATTGCTTTGGTTGCTAACAAATCAGTTGGCCATAGTGTGCATGGAAAACACTGACTTGTTCGCAAACACTCGCCAGCTACTCTTCGTGCAGTAGTGAACTTGTGGAAAGTGCGACATAAATTAGAACTGGAGACATTTCAAAGTAAAATTCAGCTGCAATGCTGAAACAAAAACACATTTACGTAAAAGTATCTTATCTGCCTTTATCCAAAATATACATCTACTTGATAATAAGTTGAAATCAGAAATATAAGGAGGAGTATTATCTGCAAAGATAAATGTATTCCTGTGATAAGAACTGGTTTATAATGGTCGTCACGTTTTTCAACCTTAGATTCATCCAACAGATATGTTTCACACTGGGTATTATTACTTTTGTCTTTTGGCTACCTAATATAAGAAGCCTGAGATTAATGTACTTCCTTTAATAAGATACATTCTCCTTTTAGTCTCCTTTTTTTGTAATTTTTGTTTTTTTTTTAAAGACAATGAGCAGTTGGGAAGGTGATCCTATTTCTGAGAACATGATTGCCACAAATTCAAGTTTCAAAAAATGATACGATTTGAAGTTCGGAGTGTGAAGAACGTGGGTTGCTAGTCCTATTTTCTGATTGCTTCAATGGTAAAAAGCAGACAGGCCTTTTGAATTTTGCTGCTCGGTGGTTTCAGCCTTCTTATCTGAAGACCAAGAACGCACTCTTTAAAGAGGATTGTGTGAGATCCTGAATCACTTTGAACATCACACACACATCTGAGCAGAATAAAAACTTTATTGAAGCCAAGCTAATCACATTTTGTAATAACAATTCAGCAACGGCAATGTCTTTCCTTTGAACAAAGTTAAAGAAACAATCTGTTTCTTAAAAAAAAAACATATAGAGGGTATTTGGAGTCTGGTACTTCTCTGGGGAGTCGTATTATCTTTATAACATAAACTCTGTGTGTTTGGAAAATAAGAAAAAAAGCCCAAAGAAAAAACTGATTGTATTTCTATAGTCACTTTGCATGAGCATCATAAATCTCATTGTGCTCTCCTCTCTCAAGCAAATTTTAAAAATGTTTCGAAGACCCAAATTTTCTTCCTTAATTACAAAACAAATTTAATGCTGTGATGAGAAGTTGCCTATTTTTAATCTCGTACAACTCAGTTTGAAATGATTCCCTTGAGGAACAGCTATTATCAAAAGCTGCAATACTTACTGCATCCAAGTGCCATATACTGTTTCAGTTAGAGATCTATAAATACAGATTTGGAGACAAGCTAAATAAAAACTCACGTCTTCCTGCGTTGCTCATTTATCTGTTTACAGGTGAGCACGGAAAAATAAAACCAGCACCATCTCCTAGAGAATTTTCTTTCTGTGTGTGAAGATATAGCTGTAATATCTGGGAAAAGGAGATTACCTAATCTTTTTTTTACCTAATCGACCATGGCTTCCTCCTCCCAGGAGATGTGTAGAGACTAACTGTTTGGCAGTCTCGAGGTTGGAGGAGGAGACATCTCAGTCAGTTTTGTTCCAGTATATCTCCTTCACAACTACACTGCATGTGTGCAGCCCACGCGTCTTCAAACAATCTCCTGCTTTCTCTCCAGGTCCGCAGCACCATCGAGAACAGCTTTGTAGGCTGGGAGCTAGAAGAAGTCCTCCTACTGGATATGTCCGTGGATGATGGCGACCTCAAGATTCAGAACCAGCTAAAGAAACTGCAGAGCCCTGTCATTCTGCTCTACTGCACAAAGGAAGAGGCTACCACTATTTTTGAAGTGGCTCATTCTGTGGGCCTCACAGGTTACGGCTTCACCTGGATTGTGCCCTCGCTTGTGGCTGGTGATGCAGACCACGTTCCCTCAGTCTTCCCCACAGGTACACCCAGACACCAGAGCAGAAGAAAGTCTGTCAAGATTTTAAATTTTAGGTTTACGTGTCATATGGTTGAAATGGACCTATTAGATTGATTTGCAGCAACATAATTTTATTCCTGAACGCTGATCGAGCCACATTTGAAAAGATTTTGTGTGATTCATAGATAAAACCCTTTTTTTTTTTCAGATTGTGCCTCAATTTATCCTCTTTAAGAAGCAAGCTGTTTCAGCTGTTCACCCTTTAAATCATCTTTCTTCTGATTGGCTGTCCCCTCATGTTACCGACATGACCAAATGAAAAATATCCCATCTCTTTGGCACCATGCACATGCTGCAGTAGAAAGAGTCTGAAAAACTCGAGCAGTCTGACACATAAGCTCTCAGCTCACATGGATTATTTGCACTTGACCTCGTTATTTGAAACTTTGGCCATGTTTAATATGAGCATTTCCAACGTGAGCAAGGGAAAGCATAATACTTCAGTTTCAAGGTGTATTTTAATGCAGCCAATTAAAAATAGAATGTATTTATTTTAGTATCACACAGGATATTTATCGTGATGCTTTAACCTGAGTGAAAGATCCACCTCGTTCTCTCTCTTCTTGTAATATTAGTAGATTTCTACTGTTTAGAGTTTCGTTTCTAGAGTTAGTCAAGTCAGGAGGACACTTGCGATGAAGCGGGGCTGAACTTTTCATTCTTTATGTTTCCTAGGATTTCTAAACTTCCAGATTAACACGTGTTAAACAGATTTAATTTATCTGTGTTTATTTTCCATGAATTCTGATCAGTTTTTCAAGAAACTGTTGAGCAATAATCCGTTCCGCGTTGTCGGCACGGGCCAAAGAAATGTTGCCAACATCTCCGAGGGGGAAGTTCTGAGTGACTGAGCTGCCAGTTCGCATCCCCAGGCGTATGTGGCAGCGCTGAGTGGGGGTTTTATGCTCACAGCCGACAGGTTTGCTGGGCAAGGATTTAGTATTTATGCATCAGAGTGTATTCAATGAACTACATTTTTCACATATAGTTTGGAAATAATGGGAAGGCTTGATTGCGTCATAGCTTGGCTCGTGCGTAGTATTCTGCCATGTAATTCAGAGTGGAAACACCAGAATGCAGTTCAAAAGCTTTATTGAAAATACAGCAAGTAATGCACCAAAACGTGGAGCTGGGTCTGAGCAGAGATAAGCGGCCAGAAGTTCTGTGAAGGGGAGGAGAGGAGAGGAGAAGATTATCTGAGAAGGAGAAGAGCTGCACAGGTATGATTGTGGAGTGAGTAATGGAAACAGTTTTACTCGCGAGCTTCTGGTCCAGAAAGGAGGTTTTCTGATGGAAGTAGGGTTTTGCGAATCCTTCCAATGCAGGGTGTGACTGAGCAGTAGCCGGGGCTGGAGACAACGCTGACCTCCACGAAACGTCAGATGGGAAACAAAGATAGGAATTTAAACGAGGAGTGAGTTAACTAGAAGAGACGGAGCAACAGTATTGAGTTACTTGGAAAACAGGTTCCTGATTTCCAACAAGGAGAGTCTGATTACACTGCAGAAATCTGTCTGTCTAACCAAGACTTACAATCTTATATCCAGCCAAAAAGTCTTTTAGATTTTGTTTTGAGAGTGATATGTTAAGCATGAGCACAGGGAATAGGATTATTAATCTCGTTTTGAGAATATATGTCTTTTACTTCTTATTTAGTATATAAATTCTAAAAGTAGTTGTTTGAGATGACATTTCCAGCTAGAAATCTTGTTTCAAGACCTCTTAGTAACATTTCACACACTTATACACCACTTGATTATAGTCTGGATCTTCTCAAATGAATTTTTTTATTTAGATAGCCAGTTTTTGCAGTGTACCACCACAGAGGTTAAGACAGTGTGGTGAAGATCTGCTGCCAGATAAATCTGCTGCCTTCAAAAACTGCTGAGTTGATTGCATTTAATCTGAGAAGTAGTGGAAAGGACTGACTAGACGACAATACCCCACCTAAAGGTGGCGCGCACCACTTTGCCTGAAATTTGAGGACGTGTTAGAAAAGAAAAGACAAAGGATAACCCGGCCTGCCCCTTCCCATGATGCTCTTAATCGTGGAGTCTTTGGACGGCTATTCCTGTGCTGCATCATATTTTATACTGGCCATTCATCGTTTTATTCTGCCTCACTAACTGTCAATGTTCATACAAATTTCTTTGTTTCTTTAAACCAGATCAATGAGGTCTGAAGTGTATTGTTAAGGCTCCACTGCAGTCTCATAACATCTTGTCTGTCCTGTGAGAGGACTCTCTCCTGAGCTTTGTATAAATGTAATGTGCTTTGAATTTACACAGTCTACTACACACTGAAGGACTGTGGTCTCGGTTTTTGCATTTCCATTTACCAAGCTGACATCAAGATGCTGAAATGTCTGCAATGTTGCTTTATTCTGTGGTAGGTTCTCATAAGACTTTGTAACAAAATGTGGGCACAATTGACAGATGGGCCTGTTTGCATATATGCAAATGTTCTCCTGCTGTATTTGCACCACACCAGTGGCAGTCAGTGATTAGGTACACGCTGATTTTTGTGAACTGAGTTCATAATGTGCTTGGAAATTAATTTTATCGTGTGTTATCGTTTTGCATCCACTGATTTTTCATGAATAAGTGATAAATCATGACTAAACACACATTAGTTTTATATTGTAGCTATTGTTTTACTAATAAGCTGAAGTCTGGCCCCATTGTTACCAAAATTCCCAGTGATGGTTTCAAAGTATTTCTCCAGGGATTCAGGTCCTTTTTGCAGTGGCTCTCCCTAGAGCCCTTCCACTCACTGAGCATGTTTAAAGCCATTTATTTCAACTACAGTTAATTTATTACCGTATTTCCATTTGCCTGAGCAGGTGAAAAATCAAATTTTAACATATGTTTGAAACCAGCAGAAACACCATTTTTAGGCTGGCTAAAAATGGTGTTTTGGCTTTTCTCTTTTTTCCCAATAGATTTACAGCCCAGGTTTCAAATGACACACATAATCCTAACCAGCCATGAAAAATGACCTGAAAACGCAGTTGTTTCTGTGTGCAAGAAATGGATGTTGACGTGTGATAGCCAGCGGTTTCTCATGCTTGGAAAACCAAGCATAACAAAGTGAGCTCAGGAGTGACCGTAGTCTCAACTGATGCTCATATTTAGCTCTTTCTTTTTCTTTCTTTTTTTCACCTTTTCAATATTGTTTTCAACATTTTAGACATTCCTTCTGAGTTTTGTCTCCCTTTTGTCTCTTTTTTTTCACCTTCTCTAAAATGCTTTTATTTTTGTATATCTTGCACCCTCTGGCTAATTTTCACAGCACTCAGCTCGCCTGTTTTTCTCATACTACTGTCTCTCTCTCTTCCTTTCATCTTTCTTTTTTCCCTCTCTCTTTCCATACATCCCTTTCTCTCACCTCATTTCTCTCTCCTTTGCTCTCTCACTATCTCTCCCAGGGCTTATCTCAGTGTCATATGACGAATGGGACTACAACATCGAGGCCAGGGTACGCGATGCAGTGGCTGTCATTGCTACGGCAACCTCTACCATGATACTGGATCGAGGGCCACACACCATGCAGAAGTCAAGCTGCCTCGGGACACCTGACAAGAAGAGCTCAAACACCGGACACTCCAAGGAAATACTGAAGTGAGTTGGCTGGATGATGTGCATACATGGTGAAATGTGTAAAGGAACCAGACCTGCAATGCAATACTGTGCTTACCTTGCAAAGCGGCGTGATTCTTGAGAACCTATAATCTTCATCACGAGAGAATCCAGGCAGTCAGCTGCCTCTGCGGGACGTTTATTGTCTAAAAACACATGAGCTACATTGTTTACTACACTTGCTGCTTTCCTAGCTCCTAAAGCTTCTCAGATTGTGGCTCGTTTTTCTTTGTGGCCTGTGTTCATTGATCTTGTTCTTTGAAGTTAGCCTGTGGTAGAGGGTGATAGAGGATACCTCCAACCACCTGCCACGGACAACTTCCCAATAAAGCATGTCGGGTTAGCATTTTCTGTGTGGCTGTAATAAAAGTGTTTGCTGGTGTTTATCCAAAGATAAGTGTCTTTCAGTAGCAGCTACTTCATGTGGAGAGGTTTAATGTTTTCAAGGTTAATTTTTAAGATTTTTACATGGAGCTTGCAATAATCGTTTTCTTGGTTTTACTCATTTTTGGTATTATTTGGACATTTTGATGGACTGATTAGCAGAGACAGACAGGAGTCTTCATGGATGATCATATTCACAGACTACATTGTGACCTGCGGTAAGAGTAAGGAGCAGGTGAAAGAGAGTCTGGAGAGGTGGCAGTATGCTCTGGAGAGAAGACGAATGAATGTTAGCATAAGCAAGATGACTGACCATGACTTCTATTGGAAGGCATGGACAGTGCACAGGAGAGGTGATGTAGAGAGTGCAGGTAGGCTGGGATGAGTGACGATGAGTGTCAGGTGTGCCAGAAGGATAGCAGCAAGAGTGAAAGGAAAGGTTGCTATTTACCTGCTATGGTAAATGGTTTGGAGAAAGAGCTGCTAACAAAAAACGCAGGAGGCCACGCTGAAGCCTGCAGAGTTGAAGATGTTAAGATATTCATTGGATATGATACTCATTTGAAATGATTACAACAGAGGGACATATCAGGTTGAGCAGTTTGGAGACAAAGTTAGAGAAGTAAGGTTGAGATGGTTTGGACATGTGCAGAGGAGGGTTTGTGGATATATTGGCCAAATGAAGTTGAACATGGAGCTGCCAGGCAGCAGGAAATGAGGAAGACCACAGAGGAGGTTCATGGTTGTACTGAAGCACACCATGCAGAGAGCTGGTGTGACAGAGGGAGATGCTAGGGATAGGGTGAGATGGAGGCAGATCCACTGTGTCATGATGTGAGAACAAAGAGGCTGACAGGTGAGCAGGTGGTACAGCAGTAGCTAGGTGGGGTAGGACACAAATCAGTGGGTTAGGAGGCTGCCAGTTGCCCCTTGAGACAAACTGGTTTGCTTTTCCGTCATATTTTTTTAGCACCAGTTGTCTTGAAAGCTTTAAGAAATACGTGCATATCAAGACAACAACAGAGGCAGAAGCTGGGTGGAAAACAAGAGGAGACAAATATGAAAAATCAACAACTTGTTTTATCTTGTTATTGCTCCACAATCACTCTCCTTTTCATTTCACCTGCCATGCAGTCACATGGATGTAGTGTACAAGTGGAACATCTATTTTCTTTTTCCACTTTTGGTTTTCCGTTATTGTTTGGTTCGGTTAAGAAAAAACAAATTTGGCTGTGTGTGGAGTAGAAGACATTTAGCTTCTATCTGCCATTCTCATAAATCCAGCACTGAGTGATTCCAATCAGTATTTACACTGTACATGAAGAGTCTTGAGTGAAAACCAGCTGCAAAATCAACATATATTGGTGTTCAGACATTGTTTTGATACGAGCACCATCCAGTAAAGATAATCTCCCTTACTGAAAAAAAAACAATAAGCTTCTTTCACCTAATTTTATAAAGCTTAAAATTTATATTTGCAGCCAATGGACATGGTGTGTTACAAGAAAATGCCTTTAGAAGTAAAATATGTTTTTAAATTAATTATATCAAAGCCAAAGCAGCCATCTGGTTTTTGGTTGCCGGAGCAAAAACTACTATTACAAATCTAGAAAATGTGCGACCCCACACATGAAATACAACGTGGGCACAAAAAAACACGCACAGACATTGAACAAAGCAGAGACGTTTCCTTCGGGAGAGCCAGAATTTGTTTTAATGGCCAATAAAAACTTAAAAAAGATGAACAGAAACATTAACTCCCTTCTTATCTTTATCTTAACTCACAGCCATCTTTAAAGAAAAACATCCTTCTCGCCCCCCTCTCCTTCTTCCTCTGAACTTCCTTGTTTTGCTTTTTTGGCACATTACAGAACAAGACGGAGCATTGGTATTCAATAATTAATCCCCATTTAACTTCATGGGGCATGCTTTTAGTGTTCACATTGATCACAGATTCCACAGCTAATTGAATGCTCGGGGACTGCCGGATTAATGGAAAAAAAGAGATCCATAGAACAACAGTGGGGTTATCACTCGCACACAGAAACACGCATGTAAACACAGATGTGTTGGTATAGCGTGACATTTAAGTGCTCCTTAGGGCTTATTTTAATAAAAACTAAGGACTCCTGAGGACATCTCCTCTAATAAAAGCGGTGCTTTAGCCTTACAAAACTACTCACCTGTCTGCCTCTCTCTCTCCTTCTCTGTTTTTTTATTTGTTGTTTTTTTTTCACTGTCAGTTTGAATTTCAGGATTGCGAAGAAACAGGGAGATATTAGGCAACCTCCCTTGCCACTACTGCATTAATCTCCAGGCTGAGGTTGATGTATTACTGCAAATTTGGGTCTTGTCTTTACCCTTGTTTCTGGGTTGTTGTTGTTTTTTTTTTTATATGTGGAGCACTTACGCGTGCCATCGAGGTTTAAGCCACCAACAGGACAGAGATAACAATAGCGCCACGGCCATGAATATTTCAGTTCCCAAAGGACGCTATCAGACCCAGGGTTAGCTCTCAATCATCCTGCGGGCACACACCTGGGATGTTGCCGTGCTCTGTTTGTGTGGGTGTGTGCTGCATGTGTGTTGATACTGTGTGTTTTCCAGCCATCCGTTCCATTTTTCCCCGTTTGACTGAGTGAAGCTAGAGAATTTGGACCACTGGATCCTGATGGTGACTCCAGGGGCTAGCAGGGGTCTAGAACACACATACTTAAACAAGCGCACACGCACACTGCATATGCATAATTCCAACTCTTCCATTCACTCATCCCAAGAGACAAAAGCAATAATAAGGCCATATGTCTCTATGAACTCCTATATAGCTACAGGCCACAGTGGGCTGCAATGCATGCTGGATTAGCATGGCATCCTGTCAGCGCTGATGGACGGAGATGGGAGATCCCGGTGAGTCACGCTCACAAATTTGTTTAGGGGCTGCTTGACCTCACACACACACACACACACACACACACACACACACACACACACACACAGGCTGCAGTTACTCCAACATGGAAACCTAGACAAATAAGCAAATGCACGCACAAGCGCACAGAGCTCTAGAGGCCATCCATTGTTTCCTGCCTGACAGAGAGGACAGGAACACTGGGGTAATGAGAAAATGTGCTCCAAGTGGTTTCTGGATGAGGCGCTAAGGGGCTTATTTGTGTGTGCAGGAAGATTCTGTTATTGTGTGTGTGTGTGTGTGTGTGTGTGTGTGTGTGTGTGTGTGTGTGTGTGTGTGTGTGTGTGGCATTCAAAATTCTCTCAAATCCCTGTGCTGTTACAAATTCCTCACCGGTAGATATGATGTAAGACATGATAAATATTTTGTAGTGAGTGTGCTTTTATGCAGTCTGACAAGACATTTTCCTTCACGGCTGTGGGCTCGCTGCATGCCATTCTTTTGAGCATTCAGTAAAATTCAGCCCAAAAAAGTCACTGCTGCTTCCTGTGCACGCGAGGCAAGCGTGCTCCTCTCGTTTTCTTTTACCTTTAACCTCCTAAGACCAGAACTCTTCCACGGCATGCATTTTTACTTTCTCTTTGATATTTGGTCACATTGGGGCCCGATGAATGTAAAAACAAAGAATTACCAGATTTCTTTTTTTTTGCCTTATTTTTGTTTTTAATAAAAATAAGAACCACAAATGAGGATATTCATTTAAAATTGTGAGAGAACAGTAGCAGTATAATGTCCTCATAAGTGGATATCAGGCCCTTGTAGAGCAAAATTCTGTATTTTGGTCTAAATAACCCAAAATGTGATGTGCACATATGTGGACGCCAGGTCCTAGGAGGTTAAAGTATTTTTTCCTTCCTGTTTTTTGTCCTGCAGCGGGAGAGCACCATTATTACATTTCTTAATATGCACAATAAAAGTGTCTGTCTAATAAATCTGTGTTTATTAGATGGCAAACAAGCCATTGCATTGTGCTTCTGGGAATCCTCGCCACTGAAGAGGGCTAGAGTTATAGACTGTAAATAAAGATGGTTCCCACCATGAGGTCCAGCTAGGAGCATTTTTTGCCAACATCATACTGATGTTTTAATGTACTTGGTGGGCAGTTCTGACTGACAGACTGAGTCTGAGGAACTGGACTTCTTTTTTGTAACATATGTAAAAGACGGGGCTTCATAGCGTTCCAGTTTACACATCTGTCTAACATATAAACTTCCACAGTTTGAGACCAGGTGGAAATGCAAATCCACAAGAGGGTTTGATCTGGTGTAAAAAATCTGCCTGACTGTGACCCTTTGTGAAAAGGAAACAACTGAAAGAAGTTTACATTTAATATTAAAGGTAAATATACCCTTTTTGGGCAATATCACACATGATAACCTGATTTGCAACATAAAAAAGGGAAAAAGAGCAAAACAAGAAACATATAAATAAAATTCTTGTGATATCCTGCAATAAAACTTGTGATCTGAAATTGTAGAATTCCAGGTATTCAGTGAGTCTCCTATAAAACGTTAAACCTGCTTCAAGCAACCCTCTGAAGTCTACAGGAGTACAGTCATAAGCTAACTTGATCTACAAACAGTTATATTATCAATGCTGTTTTTTTTAATATAACATGATGTTCATTTTA